ACACAAAAAATGAGGAATTTCAAATAGTTAATTTGATACTAATATCGATATATTTTTGTCAAATTTTTATGATATCTTCAAACATATATTTTATTCAAAGATAAAAATATCATCGTTTTCTCAAAATCACATAAAGTCATATTATAACATCGACTGAGATAAAAAATAAAATAAAATATTAAAATCATAATGTAATCCGTTGCAATACGCGAGTTCGCTTCTAGTAAAATTATGATAAAGAAAACGGAAAAATACATTTTTCTTTAAAGTAGACAATTATTTTTTGGAGAAAATAAAGTAAATAAGATAAAATATTAATTTTAAAATATAAAATATTAATTTGTGGAGTTATATGAAACAGAGGGGGGAGGCCAAGAGAAGTTAAGTGAAGCACGTCGGTTCGTCTTCCACTCGCCAACTTCCGTCTTTCAGATATGCACAATAAACCGCCCGATTCTAACTTCCCGTTCTATAATGTTCTGATTCATTCCATAATCCATTTTCTTTCCAAACCCCAATGGATCGACACATCTTTCAATTCAATCAAGTTGATGATCACCATCAACAACCACCCATCGAAGAAGTCTTATCGTTTCCGATCGTTTTATCCGACCGAATTCTTCACGCCGTCGACGACTCAAAATCCTACAAACTCGAGTGCGCCGATGTCGGTAAACAGGTTGATCGTCTATCTCAGATGCTTCGGTCCGCCGTCCGGCTTGCGAACTCCACTCCTTCCTTCTACGAACGTCCAGTCCGCCGTATCTTCACCGACGTTGCCAAAACCCTAAACCGTGCATTGAATTTAGTACGGAAGTGCCGCCGCGGGGGTTTCTTTCGTCGCTTCGTTAGCATTGTTGGTGTTGTGGATTTTAGGAAACTGTTTAACCTCCTCGACGCGTCGATCGGTGACGTCAAGTGGTTGCTCAGCATTTTTGATGTCGACGGAGAATCCGGTGGAATTGCCGGCGGCGGAGGTATTGTTCTTTCTTTACCGCCGATTGCTAGTAACGATCCGATTTTATCATGGGTTTGGTCTTATATAGCTTCACTTCATTTCTGTTCAATCAATGTGAAAATTGAAGCTGCACATGAATTGTCTTCGCTATCCCGTGATAATGATCGAAATAAGAAGATCATAATTGAAGAAGGCGGCATTTCGCCATTATTAAAGCTTCTAAAAGAGAAATCTTCGCCTGAAGCCCAAATTGCTGCCGCTATGGCACTTTGTAACCTGGCTAATGATCAAAACAATACTCGGGTAATCGTCAATGAACATGGTATCCCGAATATAGTACAGATTTTTCGAAATTCCCCAATTCTGGTTCAAATTGAGGTTGCCAAATTGATAGCAAGAATGGCAGAACATGATAGCGTTTCCCAAGAGGGTTTTGCAAGAGAGAATGTGATAGGATCACTTGTTTCATTTTTGTCATTCAACATGTTCATAGATGATGATGGTCTTCGTGGTAAAACTAACAAGTTCTTGAAGAAAGTCATTCATCCAAATGTTGAGATTAATACCCAAGTGGATAGAAGTTTGATTATGTGTTCTGATAATAGTAACAAAAGGGGCAAAAAAGAGCCACAAGATTTGATACTCGAGTTCAAAACCAACTGTTCTGGAGCACTGTGGATGCTTGCTAGAGGTAGTATTGCAAACAGTAGGAAAATAACAGAAACTAAAGGGTTATTATATCTGGCTAAGCTTATTGAGAAAGAAAATGGGGAATTGCAGATCAACTGTTTGATGACAATAATAGAAATCACAGCTGCAGCTGAATACAATCCTGATCTTAGAAGATCAGCATTCAAGACTAATTCCCCATCTGCAAAAGCAATAGTGGATCAGCTTCTTCGATTGATTCATGAATCAGATAATCCGGTAACCAAAATTCCAGCCATTAAAGCAATCGGGCATTTGGCTCGAACCTTCCCTTCTAGAGAGACTCGGGTCATTGGTCCTCTAGTTAAACAACTGAGTCACAAGAATCCAATTGTGGGAACTGAATCAGTCATTGCTCTTTGTAAATTCACATGTGAAGAGAACTTTCTTCATGCAGAGCACTCAAAGACTATAGTTGAGTTTAAAGGGTTGCCACCCTTGATGAACTTGTTAAGGGGGAATGAGAGGACACAGTATCATGCTTTGGTTCTTCTGTGCTATCTTGCAATGCATGCTGGAATCAATGAATCATTTGAACAAAGAAGACTTTTGACAGCTCTTGAAGGTGCCGATAACTCTGTTGCTTGTCGGCATTCTGAGTTGAGGGAATTGGTAGCAAAGGCCGTTCAATATCTCAAGATATTAAGCTAGTAACCACGTATAGGCGAGCTTTGTAATTATGGGGGACAGTTTTCTTTTTTCTTTTACTTCATTTTTGGAACAAAAGATGAAATATTAATCGTGTCTTATCAATCAACTCCAGACATATCATTACTTTATTTAGTTATCTTTTTGTCTGGAGTTGGTTGAGAAACGTAAACTTTATCGCGGACCTGAGGTAAAAATGTAATTTTTTTACGGACGGGATATAAAGTATAATTTTCTTTTGTCTTTTAGCTGGATCCACAATTGCAGAGAAAAAGACCCCATCTTAGCTATTCAGACCCTTTTACCACTTTTGCCCACAAAAATTGTAGCGTTTTGACTTGTTCAAATTGGATGCTATGAAAGAAAAACTGCAATTTCCATGGACAATAGCTGTTAGCCCTCACATTTGGAGAACCCATTTGCCAATTTTTAAAAAAGTCAACTCTTCTAATCATGATGTGGTTGACTTTTTTAAAAAGAAAAGTCAACCTTAAGCACCTATTTGAGGAATCCAAAACTCTGGTTGAAAGCTAATTAAGAGATGATGGGAAAGTTTTCTCCTAAACTAATGATTCTGGTGGCCGTCTTTCTACTATTACTTCATGCCAATTCTATCATCTCAGGTACCTCAACTATCTCTAACTTTTTTTTAAAGGGTGGGTTTTTGGTGTGTAACTCAGTTGGTAAAAAGATGTGGTGACTTTGTTTAAATATAAGATTGGTTTTGGGTTCAATCCCAGATCATCTGCTAACTTCAACCGCTGAGTGAGTCAAAAAATATCATCTCATATTGGTGTCCTTGAAGACAGGTTTCGTATGGGAATGATTGAGGTTGACGGTAATCAACTATTTGTCTAAATATTTTCAAGGGTGGACTTATATAAAGAAATATGTTGCGGGCTACCGCCTCATGATTCTGTAATAATTGAAAAACATTACATTTTAAAGGGTGTCATTATATCAGTTCGTTGGGTGCTCTCTCTCTCTCTCTCTATATATATATATAGAGAGAGAGAGAGAGAGAGAGAGAGAGATGCCAGGTTCGGAGGAAAATTTAAAAAAAAATGAAAAACTGAGAAACACTCTGGTAACCATTCATCTGGACGGTATGTACATGTGCATACCGATAATTGAAGTTGTTTCTTGGTTTTTTATGCATATGTGTATACCAGACAAATTGCTTAAAGTTACAAATAACTTATCTTGTTTGATTTCAAGTAGATATTTGGGTATAATTCTATTGTTGTGTGTAATTAGATGATGATTGTCGATATATTAAAAAATCGAGGAAGTTGATTCAAGATTGGCAACAGAGCATCATAGCTTCCAAGAGTCAAAGAAAGCTAAGAAAAGTGCCATCTCCACCGTCACCAAAGCGAGGCAAAACTCGAAATCTAATAAACGAAAGTATATAAATTTGATTGGTTCAATTCATGTTCATGTTTTTAGTTAAACCGGAAAAAAAAACGACACGCGATGTCAATAACAAGTTGTACACATTTTTTTTAATTCAATAGACATTATTTTTTATGTTATAAATGTTATTATTATTGAAGTTCATGTTTAACCGGAATAATTGACTAGCACCCGTAACCGCTATCCAGATACTTTCGGTATTCTTTTTGTTTTATGTGTTTAAATATCAATTGTTTCATTATTTATTTTAAATATTTTAATCAATTAATTTTATTGAACCAAATAACAGGGTCGGTCCTAAGATTTTTGATGCCCTGTGCGAAAATAATAAAAAATGCCCCTAAGCTTATTTTTTTAAGTCAATGAAACAACGAAACATGCGATTTTTTAAAAAGTTTAGAACCTATTCAAGCTAAGTRTCTCATCCCCATGTTGATTTTTATTAATTATAATAAAGAAAACTACAATTGGGGGGGGGAGGAATAAAAACCAAAACTCCGAATACAAAATATAAAATGATAAAAGGATAAATCCTGGATTAAGATCTTGCTTCCTTCTTTTCCAGTTTTCTCTTTTCCAAATTGAAATTAGCAAAATAGAAACTTTATTTCAATATATAGGACTTAAAAGACAAGGAAAACTAAAATTTGTTTTTAACTAAAATAGTAAATTAAATCCAAATTACTGTTATAGTAAGCAAAAAGTAAAACTCAAAAGTTACAGGTCTAACGACTAAAGGTTAATGGCCTATCTGTTAGCAGCTTAATAAGCTTAATGGAACTAACAATTTATTCGCTCAGCTATGCATGAATGTTTCGTAGTGGCTTAATGATATAGAAAGTGACTTATCCAGTAAGCTTCTAGGGGGTGCTTTATATAGAAAGCCAAGTTTTCTTTCTAAACATGTCCCTTCCAACTAAAAAAAACGCCATTTACATCTGTGAAAAAACTCTCACAAACAAAAACTTTTCCACCTTATTCAAACAAATTAATTAATACAGACAACTTTATCCATATAAAACTTAATAAAAAAAAACCAATCAAACAGCCCGTAAATCTAATGTGGTAATGCCAACCCTCAAAGTAAACAAAAGTCAAAAGAACAATAATAAATTGTAAAATTCATAATCTATGTTATTGTGTATTGCAAAGAACAAGTGCCCAATAACCAAGACAATATCACAATATGTTGTTAATGTTGTGCGGTGTGCTCTAGCTATGTTGATACAGTGATGTGCTCATGTGCATTGAAAATTACAATTCTCAGATATTTCAATATGCAAGAGGAAGACTCATTATCAAAATGACAAAAGCCCCTTCGCCTTAGCCTAGTAGGTCAGTAACCCACACGACTTTATAATAATTAGTTACAAATTTAGATTTTTTTTTTGTAAAAAGATTTAAAAATTCATAAATCATAATATGACTCACATAGCAAGTCAGTAAGTTCAATCAACAATAGAAATCAATCATTTGAGATTTCCATCTTTGATTTCTTGAATCTAATTTCATAACCGTTAATTGGCTAGAAAGAGAACTTCATGTTTTGAAAATCAAAATAGTCGAACTTTGAAGAACAATAGAAATTAGATTGAGTTGTTGGAATCATGGCGTTAACCGGTTCACGATGTGCATTCAGTATTCATTACTACTAGGCTTTGGGCCTGTTTTTATAGTTAAAACTCATGTCCAATTCCTAAATTATTAAACCCAAAACTAGTAATAAATGACAACTTGATGCCCCTTTAGGCTTTGATGCCCTGTGCGGCCGCACGGGCTGCACGTGGCCAGGGCCGGCCCTGCCAAATAATTAAATTCGTATGTATGTCATCAAAATGAGGGTGGTACCTTGGACAAAATATATTAAAATCAAATATTTTATTATATTTAATTAGAGATGGTCAAAAATTAGTATCATGTTAGCCCCAATCGGTCTTAATTCCAAACATTATTTTCGTAACCGGTTTGGGTTCTGGTTCTAGTCCCGGTCAAAAAAGGGTGATCCGGTTAAAGTACTCTGTAACCGGTTACGAAAACCGTTTCCGGTCCTGGCCGGACCGAAAGCGGTCATGTGTATTTTTTTTCTAAAGTTCGATTTTTTACGTAATATTTTTTGAATTTTTTTAAAGAATACAAAAATGTTATTTTAATACACTTGGAAATATGTAATTGAGTCAACTAAATACACTTAAAAATACGCTTTATTATAATTTTGTAATTTGTTTTCAATCAAATACCCGGATTATAGCCAGAATTGAGAAGGTTTTTGTTGCGTTTGTGAGTAAGTATTTCCCCTATACATTATATTACTAATATATAGCGTATAGAGGATAAATAAGAAAAAGGGTCAAAAATGAAAACAAGGTCATACAGACGTTGGCCAACGGCTATAAAAACCGCAACTTTTTCGAAAAATTGGAGTCCCAGGCCGCTTCCATAACTTTCCTGGCTAGGTCTTGTTTTTTGACGAACACCGTAACCGGTTCTTAACCGATGTTCCCAATCAGTCCCTGGCCCGGGCCAATCCCAAGTGATGCTATAACCTACAAACATCCAAGACATGCCATGGGGTCTACTCGGAGTGCATTAATCAAATCAAGTAAAGCAAATGTGATTAGAACAACCTCTGAACCACATAGTTAATAGCATGCATAATGTTGAGTTTTTTTTACAGGTTTTTCATATCATATTGTTGTCAACTAAATAACTCAAAAAATCTCAACATGACAAAAACCTCCTTCAAACTTTTTCATATTTTTTCAATCTTTTTAGAGTACTATCATTTTAATTTTACATCATTTATATTCTTATTTATAAATTTCAATATATTAAATTTTTACAAGTACACATTTATTTTTATACAGAAAATATTATTACTTTAGTGATTTAATTATTTTAAGTAAAAATATTTACATATATTAATAAAATATATATATATATATTATATATTTTTTCTAAAAATTGACTAAAATTTTACTAAATTGTATTAACATTAGGTTATTAAGAAATTTGTAGAAGTTATATAAAAGTATGCACAAGAAACATGTCATATCTAATATCTAGGGTCTCAAATTCGTATCAAAATGAATACAAATCAATATATATGAATATCAACCGGTGTATAAAGGACATATCATATCATATCATTATGCATTTTATTTAAAAAAAACTAAAAGAAAGTTGGTTCTAGAACCTTCTACTACATTTTTTAACGTCACGTACGCATCTTATATAACATTAGTTGAAGTCTCATTTTCTCACCATCAATGAACGATAGAAAATCTATAAAAATCATATTTGAATGAAAATTATATATTTTTTTTACTATTTATATGGAAGGACGATGATGTAAGGTCCTTGTGAACCAACGCGATGGAGATGGGAGTGATGGTGAGGGAGTAACCAAAACCCATTTCAAAAAGTCAACTTTTTGGCAACAAGCAGTTGGTTGACTTTTGTAAATATACCTTAAATTTTTTAAACATGGAGAAGATGGCGAGGTTTGCTCCAAGACCCGCGCTCCTGCTCTTTATTTTTCTATTATACATTTATATCAATTATGATAATTTTGAAAACTGGTGCATTATATGTTATTTTATATGATTTTTTTTTTAATTTACGGTTTACATATAACTTAATGATTAACATATATTGTTTCACAATATAAACATTTTCTATCTGTTTGTGAAACAAAAAAAACACAACTAATTGTTTTTACAACGTGAACCGAATACATAAGAAGCAGACACATTATGAAACAAATATATGTTAATCAATATATTAAATTCTAGTCTTAGATAAAAAAATCATGTGAAACAATACGTTACGGTAACTGCTCTCACAATTATCATGGTTTTCAAATCTTTCCATTATATATAAATTGATCATTATTTTTTTATTGCAAGAAAAATAAAAAACTAAAAAAGTAAAGCAATTTTGAATCATCACTTTGTAACGAAACTACAAATGTAACCGTAGAAATCGTCCATTTCAAATATAATTTTATGTTTTTTTTAACAATCCGATGAGAATGATCAGTTTGAATCAAAACCAACCGCCATGGTTAGAATAGATTCATCCATGTTTTTTTTTCTCGTATTCTAGTAGATGTAAATACATCAAAACGTAACGACTTTTGGTTTTTTCCCGTTTTAGTGCAACGTTATTTTTTTATTTTTTAACGAATGTAACTATTTTTTACACTACAAAAATGTAGAGTATCAGCGAGAGAAAAATCCCTCGCAAATCCGTCGCTGAAAAGGCAATCCGTCGCTGATACTCCGTCAGTCAAATAGTCGTAGGTAATGCTATCAGCGACGGATTTGCGCCGGATATTTTCAGCGACGGATCAGCGAGGGAAGTATTTTACGACGGATCTGCGATGGAACCTTCAGCGACGGATCTGCGAGGGAACCTTCAGCGACGGATCTGCGTGGGAACTTTCAGCGACGGATCTGCGACGAAATCTTCAGCAACGGATTTGCAAGGGAACTTTCAGCAACGGAACCTTCAGCGACGGATTTGCGAGGGAACTTTCAGCGAGGGAACTTTCTGCGACGGATTTGCGAGGGAACTTTCAGCGACGGATCTGCGACGGAACCTTCAGCGACGGATCTGCGAGGGAACTTTCAGCGACGGATTTGCGAGGGGATTTTCAAGGACTTTCAGCGACGGATTTTCCCTCGCTAATCAGTCGCTAATTTGTATAAAATTAAAAAATAATTTTTTTAAAAATGCATAAATCCTGTATTTATTTATAAAAAACCTGGAAATAATAATATAACAAACCAAATATGTGAACAAAGTAACCAATTCATACGATTTAAAATATGAATTCATACAATTTAAAATATTCAATTCATACAATTTAATATTCGAATACATAAAATCTAACTATCGGGAGGTGGGGGAGGTGGGAAAACGTATCATGACTGCCGCATAAACGCAGCAAAATGCTCCGATAATGCGGCCTGTTGGGCTAATACAGCAGCTTGTCTGGCTTGTTCAGTTGCCGAGGCAGCTTGTCTGGCCTCCAAATCTGTCATATTCTTCCGTTCGGTCTCGAATTCCTCTTCTACCCTTGACAACTTCTCTCTCAACTCCGTTACCTGTAAATATTCAATATTCTTCGAAATCAGTAATTTGTTCGCAATTTTAGTAATGAAAAAGTTTATAACAATATAACCAACGTACCTCCGCTCTTGACTCGTATGATGACATGCTACTGCTACATCTACCCGTCATAGCATAAGAGGGATCATGGGTGGTCCCAAAACCAAATAATCGGCCTTTCCTCCGTCCTCCGACACTTTACTCCCAAAGAGATGCCTCATCAGGGAGAGGGCTGTCGGTATTAGATTGTGACTCACCCCTAAGCGATTGAAATCGCTCATATGGTTCACCAAAACAAAAACGGGTGAGGTTATGTATGTAGATATTTCAGTAGTATAACGACTGTAAATCAAATATAACCAATGCATGTATTTAACAACTAAGCATTCTAATAATACCAATGTTCGAAGTCGCATTCTCAACCTACTTTCTTAGTCTAACGTCTGCCCAACAATGGCAGCCCAAACTGAATCCCTCGCTGATCCCTCGTAGATCAGCGAGGGAATAGCCAAAAACTGAATCAGCGAGGGAATAGCTAAAAACTGAATCCATCGCTGATCCCTAGCTGATCAGTGAAGGATTCTTTTTATGGACAATCCCTCGCTGATCTGCGAGAGATTTTTTTCCCTCGCTGATGGTCGTCGCTGATACCTAGTTTTCTAGTAGTGTTACTTATTCATATTTCCTACCTATTTTGACTGATAGCAAGTAGTTTAAATTTTAAGTCCCCATGACGTAAAACAATTGTTTCCCGGATGGTATGCCTGTACAAGAAGACGAGAATTCGAGTCTAACAGTCGTAGTGTAAGAATTACAATTCTTTCAGGAATTGGGTTCTTATATATGGACATTAGGTTCTTAATCCAACCACATAGGAGACCATTATGCACATAATTTGTCTTTACATAATACTCTTTGGGTCGGATGCATGGTGTGGGTCGACCTGAACGCGTCAGCTGGAAACCCTTTTTGCATTAACAAACAAACTGTTCGGTCTTGTAACTATTAATGATGTGGTGTCAAGTTGTCAACTTATATTAAAGTTATTTATTATCTGAAAATATATCAAATAAAATTCAACTGATATCGTATAAACCGAAAGTCTGAAAACTTGTTCATCAAGTAAATATAGAAAAAATTGAAAGACTGCTACATTAATTGTGAAAAAAATCATTGTTACATTAAAAAAAGATAAGACAAATTTTGTCATATTCTGACACTCAATAAATATGATAATTAATTAATTTTAAACAATAATACATGTATAATTATTAAATTGTTTAATTAACTAATTGACAACTTTATTCTTAATAATAGAGAAAATTAATCAATTTATCCACATCTCATAAGCAACGATCGTAGAATTGAAAAATAAATACTTACTTTTGAAAATATACGTTTATTTGGAATAAACTAAAATCAAACGGTTGACACTTATTTTTTGAACAAAGGAGTACTTATTGTTTTATTTCAAGGGAAAAATTTGTCGTTAAAAGGTATCATATGTAATTAACCAGATGATGTTTGCCAATATGCCAAAAGGTCAAGAAACTTGGTTCAGTATTGGCAACAGAGGATCGCAGTATCCAAAATCCAAAGAGATCTCGTAACAAAGTCATCTCCACCACCACCAGAGTCGAGCAGGAATTGGAGTTTCAAAGTCACTGTTTCACCACCACCACCACCACCACCTTCGACTTAAAAGTATATAATGTTCTTGAGTTGATTTTGTGTACAGTTTATTGATGTTGGTTGTATTTCTACTAATTTCCTTCAAAACACTGCTATATTTTTAAGATTTTGTGTTTCCATTTGTTAATAAGAGTTTCAGTTTTTGTATGATTGAAGATAACTGAACAAAGTGTAGCATGAAAACTGGTCTTATAAATTGTACTCATATTTAGTACTACGCATATATGTTTGTATTATTTTCTGTAATTATTTAACTTGTATTTCAGATGTTATCATTCTGATCATTTCATGCTAAATCATATGATTTGAAAGAACTGCACATATGATTTGATTTGTTTGAAACGCATCCTCCCAAAATCGATTTTATGATTCGTTAGAACCTAAATAAATAAATTCGGATGAGAAAATAATAAGTTGTAAAAATGAATAATTAAATTTAATGTAAAATTATTCCATCCTATTTAATTAATGCAAACATAAGGTTATTCAAGTTGGTTGTCACACTTAGGGGTGCTCAAAAACCCGACCAACCCGATTAACTCTACTCAACCCAACATGAAATAACTCAATCTGAAGCAACTCGATGTTTAATTGAGTTGTAAAAATTTCAAACTGTAGATATTGAGTTGATATTAGGTTACTATTATTTGAACTCAACACAACCCAATGAATCCAATATCCTTTTATTTATTGGATTTAATATGATTGTTGAAAATATATTAATATATACATTAGACAATTATACTATCACGTACGCTCTTCATATACATATATTTTCAATATATTTATATATCTATATAACTCATTCATATATATGTTCGATAACTATGAACATATATATGTAAATTGAGAAAATTAACTGAATACGATATAAATAGAAAATATGGATAAATTGAATCAAAAAGAAATATAAAATTATAAATAAAATTAAATTCCAAACCTTTCAAAATTTATAACATGCAAACCAAACCACACCTCGCCTTTTCTAAAAGTTGTTTTGACGAATTCAAAAATCGTGTTAAGCGCGTGACCCGTAGAAAGAAAAGGAAAAATGGCGGGATCTCATCCAACCAACGGAAGTGAAGACGAGCAGGAAGAAAGTATGATGGTGACGACCACCACCGCCACTGCCGGAGACCATTGGGAAGTTCAGTACGCTAGATTCTTCTACTGTCCTTCTCTCTCCTCATCCGCCGGCACCGGTGGTCATCATCCCTCTCTCATCCCCCTTGTCAGAAAGCCCAAAGGCTTATGGATTTCTTCTTTCACTTCTTTACCCTGCCTCAAACTAATAACCACCACAACCGACGACTCTCATGATTCTCGCTCCATTATCCTCACCGTTGATCTCGTCGACAAAGTCGTCGTGAGTTATCATCTTCATATAGATCTTTTACTATTTTGTTCGTTAACTGATTTAGTTTCATTACACGCCTTATTTGTGTCATTTAACATTAATTCAGACTGACGGTGATTCTTCTGCAATCGTTACACATTTGATCACAAATCCAAACGCTTTCCAACACCATTGAGCCATCAATCGTATAAATATCATCTCTATTTTGTTGTTAGTTGGTTTTATAGAATTGTAAACGAAGTAACTGTTTGATGTACCCTATTTGTGTGGTATGTTTAAAATAAGATACGATCATGAATTCTCTGTAGGCCAACTCTTAGATTCCATTGCTTGTAAGACCATAGAGGCATAAAAAGGATCTTATAGTGTCGGTTTAAATTTAATCATGAACAGGATTCACGTATGGCGATCTAGTTCCAAGTCAAGTCCAATCACTTCTTTTTGTGGTTTATGGAAGCACCGAAGCAGGGTGCCTTCCAGAAAAGGTACCAAACAATGGTTATGTAACGGATCACACACACAATTTTGTGGTTTTGTAAATAATAGTGTTTGCTTTACGATATTTTCAAATGATTGTGTACAATATCCATGGTTTTCGTCCCTGCCTTTTGGTTTTTCAGCTTTTCATGATGTACATTTTGATCGGGAAACATTCTAGTGATGCCCTAAAGTGATCTATTTGCAGCATACATATCAGTTCTATACATATTTTAGAAGTAGAGAGATAAAGAGAGAGGAATGATTTGATGCAAGGCATTGCAGACCTTGCATCTGTTTTAACGTTCTCTGTGTTGCACCCATGCATTGTTTTGGTTTACATGTTCCCTTTATTTTAATTGTTCATTCTTCTTGTGCTTATGTTGTTAACCATTATGACTCTCTAATCTGTTTATTTTGCATCTTTCTTATAATTTAGTATGAATTTAACAGAACTTGGGTACTGAATCATTTCAGGAAGAGCATTACATTTCAAAGCTACATTTCACCTGGCCTCAGACCTCATGTTTGTCTGGATACCCTCCTAGGGGCAGCAAAACAGTATTCATGAGTTATAAAGATCACATAGGCCAGGCAAGGCGCTTAAATATGCTCCTTCTGTTTATATTTGCCTACTTCCCCTTGTCCTTGTCTATCGTGTCCTTGATGGACATTATTCTTCTATTCATTTTCTTGGTTAGTGGGCCATGAATTTTTTTAGGGAAAGTGTTGAACTCTTTCATCATAAATCATTTCCCTTTATCTTAATTGAAGATGTGTAATTACTGTAATTCTAGAGATCATAAGACATGGTCTTCACTGTCAAAGCATTGACCTTATGGAATCTGTCTACGATACGATACATCAAACGTGGTTGGTGACAATAATTATATCCTCATATCGATTTTAAAATACTTGTCGTTCATGTTACTGTGACACCACATGATGACAAGGTATACGACAAGTTGGTTTCACTCCACTCTGTCCAAAAGTAGTTCTTACTTAAGATGTTTCATCCATTCTAAGGTTAGTCTCATGGAATACTTCTTCAAAGCCAGGGTAGCCTAAAATTTGTTGTGCAAACTCAAGCGTATAGAACATTGCTCAAGGACTTGGTCAACAACTGGAGAAGTTTTGCCCTGATACTATGTTTCTGCTCAAACTTTTGTGTGTTCATTCAACACGAGGACTCTTTTGTAGTCACTAGGTCAACAAGTTGATGTGTTCACTTAACACTGTGTCTGATCAAGTTCCATGTCTATAGAACATGAGATTTCATCTATAATCTTGATCACCTTATAATTAGACAACTAGTGCATATGTTAGGTATAGCAACAAGAACGCAGTTTTCTGAACCTGAGTTGATATCTGCATGTCATTAGTAACAGGAAAATGGATCGATTGTAGCGATTTCACTTATATTTGGACTACTGATCACATTTATTACTCATTGGTGAATACACTCATGCTACAATCTAAGATCAGATAAGTCAATTTCTTGTCTGCAGATCCAAAAGTTTGCTGTGCGATTTCACACAATTGATGAGGCTTTGAGATTTATAAATTCTTTGAAGGTTCAAGACTTCCCCCTTCTACTCTCATCTCCTTGTCGGTGTGCTAAAAGTGTAATTTTATCTTCTCTTCTATAGGAAATCTTTGGACAAAAAAGGATTGATGGGTCTATCTCTGGCATCTCTAAATCCAAATCATCATCTCAATCTCAGTTCTTCTCTTCCCCTCAACCCTTAAATAGGTGGGAGAGAAATTATGCTCAACTCACTTGCATTCTTTAAGGAGTGATTTGATATTTTGAACAAATTTACAGGGGTTTTGTTGCCAGCTTACCACCCTTCCTGTCAAAATGCCAGAAAAAACATCGTTTTTGGAAGAATGAGCAGTTTCAAACAAATCATGTGAACATAAATGCAAATAACAAACCAATTTTACTTGGCACCTTTTGTCCAAAATCGCTCGTTATTGCAAAGTAATGCTTCTTTGTATTTCAGCAAGAACACCAACAGTGATTGTTCACAGGGTAGGGTTTGCAAAATCAATCCCTCGTTCTTTAAATAACTGAATTTCTTTTTACAGAATGACAGAGGACTGGGACCCAATAAGCTCTTCCGCCGACAACTCGCAACCCATGTATAGGTGGGACAGAATATAATAACTCATCTGCAAGTCTGCAACTACATTTTCTAGAAACTAGGGCAAAAACTTCGCAAATCAGCTGAGATTTAACTTGTTTGGGCAGACCAACTCAGGACTGGAGTCCAATAGCATCTCCTGCTGATGCTTATATCCAACCAGTTCACCCAAGTGAGAACCACGACACCAGCCAAAACTCAAATCCCCTGAAAGCCACACTTGATCAAGATGTTCAAGAAAAGCTCTCAGCCTTTCCTCCTAGTTTCTCATCATTATTGATGAACTGCTTTCCTGCGGCTGAACAAGGTAAATTTCTTTATCTTTTTTAAGTAGATAACATTTATATACGGGGCAAAATGCACAAAATAACAATCTACTTTCATAAATTTCTTTATTATAATATTGTACTTTCAGTTTTTTTTATTACAACAATGTATTTTCAAACTATCTTTTATTAGGACGTTGTACTTTAAAAAATTTACCCATTATAGCATTGGGTAACTTTTTGATTTAAACTTACCCATTATACTAGGTTTCCATGCCACCTCATTGTCCACGTAGGCTGTCCACATGTAATATAGTGGTGTGACTTTCTTACTACATCATTGTATTTTTAAAATTATTTTATTATAGCAATTAGTAGTTCTTATTAAACATTGTATTTTTAATTTTAATATTTAGATATTTTACATGTTATTTAATAAATGTATTAAATGAATTAAAAAAATTCTAAATTATTCATTAATATACCAATATCAATAAAACTAGTAGAACACAACTTATCTCGCTAACATTTTTAAAAAAATATGTGTTTTTTGAAAAAAGAAAAAGAAAAATTGTTCTTTTTTTTACCAAAAAATATTATCTTTTAAAGAATATATTATATTTGTTCAAAAACTTTTTACTTGACGTATAAATATATTAAATTAATTAGACTTTTTTGAATTATTTATTAATATAACAATATTAAAATATTATAGATAACAATTTATTTCGTTAATATTTTAAAGAGTACTTTAAAATATATGTATTTATTTGAACAACATAAACTAGGAAAAGTTACCTTTTTAACAAACAAAATATATCTTGAAAATAATGTTTCATATTTATTTAATAAATATTTAATCTAAGAATATTTAATTTGAATGCAACTTAATAAGAAAAAGTAAAAAAAATTAAATGTTTTTTTTATATCATAGCAATGAAAAATGAAAATTACTAATAATAATTTGAAATAGGTTTTTATTTTAATTTTAGTTAAGTCATCAAAATGATGTGGCATCCACATCACCTCATTAAAGCCACACAAGCAAAAAAGTCAAAGGGTTAACCGGTTTAAAAGGTAACAGGTTACCTATTGCTATTATGGGTAGATTTTTTAAAGTACAATGCCTTAATAAAAAATAATTTGAAAGTACATTGCTGTAATAAAGAAAAACAAAAATAAAATGCTATAATAAAAAAATTTATGAAAGTAAGTTGCTATTTTATGCATTTAACCCTTATATATATATATGGCAAATACTTGAGCACTCCTCACCTTTGTCTACCTCGTGGGAAGTTGGGCTCTATCGGCAATCCGGTTACCACAGGGCCAATGACCCTTTGGTCTGATTTCTTTATTTGTTCCACTTATTCCTCTTTTTTGAGGTGGAAGAACCTGTATTTTACCATGAAATGAACCTGAACTTGTATTTTACCATGACAGCAACACAGCCAACAGTTCCAGACGAAGTCGGTCTCAAAAGGGAAATCATGGTATTTCATAGCATTGAATCTTTTCATGTTATATACTGCATATGTCTGGTTTTGTCTCATATCGTAACTGAAGATGCAATGACAAACTCAATTTTGTTCCACAGAAATATTTGGAAGACTCTTCCTTCCAAGGTATATGCTGTTCTTGATACTGTTGTTAGCCCATGCCAGTTCTTTAAATAATTTGCATCAATATCCTAAAGTTCATAATCATACTCCTCTCTCCTAACCATAAGTATTGCAAATAATCAACCATATACTTATTTAACTATTACTTCTTCTGTCCCAAGATAAATGTTCACACAGAAAAAGGCACACAGTTTCATAAATAACTATTATATGTTTTAATTAACTATATAACAATTTTATCCGTAATAAGAGAGGAGGTAATGAATTTCTCTGTAGCATAATTGATCTTAACATGCTGCTCAAATATTGTTCTTGTTTCAAAACATTTTGCTATTGAAAAGCTAAGTTGTAATTTTGTTTCTGGTACTAACAGACATGCTGAGCAAGGTACAGAAGGTCATAAGTGAATTTGGAGACGATCTGTTGTAACCATTCCGTAGATTTCCATGCAAAACCACAGCCTCATCGATAAGTGCTGTTCATATGCATTTCTTTTCCTTCTGCATTATGATTAGCCACAGTTTACACTTAACTATATTAGATAGAAAAAATCTCTTTCTAGGCATCATAGCAGCTGAAGCCTTTTCATCGTTCCTTTAGAACACAGGCATTTTTAGATCATTAAATGTAAACCAAAAATGATCAAAAGAGAATTAAAGAAAACCTTTTTTTGGTAGATATGAGTGTTGAGGCTAGTTTGTGCACGTCTCGACTAATCTCATCGGGTTCCTAAAGATAACAGTCAAGAAAATCCCCAGTAGCCCTAAGGAGACTCAAACTGCCGGACTAGTCTTTATTTGCCAGTTTAGATAGCGTTCAAGGTTATTAGAGAAAACTTTATAGGCTTGCGCAGGTGGTTTGGACTTCTTGAGGGTAATCTATAGGTCTGAAGTTTGAATGTTACACTTATGTATTGTTAATTGTCTAATAAAGCACGAATGATACGCCAATAGGATGATATGGTTTTCGAGGACTTAGAAAATTGAAGAATTAAGAACAAACCTCCTAAAGAGACTTGCATAGCATGGCTAACTTGATCATGGAATCTACTGCGAACATTTCAAATCACAAGCGTCGGTTACCAACCAGTTTCTCAAACATAGGTTACTTTACCAACGTGTCGATTAGTTTTTAGTAAATGCTTACATAAAGCCACATCCATCTTGTGCTCTTTCAAACTCAATACTACCTTTACCATGCTCCTTTGATGTCATCCACAAGTTCTGTTGTTTTTGGGTTTTAAAAACTAATGGCTAAAAACCACGATATAAAGACTACTATTTATTGCTTCATGGTGAAGCTCTCTGTGTCCTTAGAGCAATTCTGACTCCACCGTAGCATAAACAACATTCTACGGGTTCTTGACGAATTGCTTCTCAATATACAATGAAACTTCGTGCATAGTTCAACTATCAACACCACAGGAGTAGCAATAATTCTTTTGGGTTCACAAGGATTTCTAGTGACAAAAGAATTTGTGTTTCTATAGCAACACAACTCCTAGCAAATCTGGTAGAAGAGAGAGATTTTTGGTGTCAAATGCATGTGTATATATAGGCATTAGTGACAGCCTTGTAAGCGTCATTGTTGGCTGTAGTTGCGACACCTGTCACCAGATGATGTTCCAAAGCGTTGCGTCTGGTCGAATATGTGCCTTTTGAACCAACCGGCGCTAATGTTGACGTTAAACACTTGGCAGACTAATGAATATCAATCATCGCGGCTGTTCATCTTGCTACACCTGATCTGTATCATCACTAGAGTGTAGGCATAGGAATGGGGGCGGGGACCCCAATCCCCATGGAACCCATCCCTGATCCCAATCTTCATCCCCGTCTAGTTCCCATCGGGGAATAAGATTACATTCTCATCTCCGTCCCGAACGGGAAATGGGGATCCCTAACGGGGAATCAGGGATCTTTTTTCCTGTAAATATAAGATATTTTAAATCAAATGTATGAAACACCATATTCGATCAATAATGATCTATTTTTAAATCTCACATATTTTCAAAATCTTCTTTTATAGAGTATCAAGTATTCATATTTAAACAAAATCACATCATACGTAAATGTTTGATCAAACGTTTTCGGTTTTCAACGTTTTTTATCTAAAAGAAAGTAAGACAACTCGGAAAAAATGTATATAGGAAGAAATGTCAAAATACTATTTCTAAATCTAAAAGATATTAAATTTAAATTTTTATAAATAATATATTTAATAATGACTATATATAATATTCCCGGTTTTTAACTTTTGGAGATCCTCGTCTCTGTCGGGATGGGTCTCATTCCTATGCCTACTAGAATGCCCTTATCATACCTGTTGCACAACCATCATAAGAGAGATATAAATCGACAAATCGTGTGTCCCAAAGATGGGTGGATGATGTTGGGAGTTGAATTCCAGACCTTTTAATGTTATACAAAGATGCTCATCTCCTTATTCAGTAGGTTAAAGCCCCCAAGGACCGGTTCCTATCTTATTTGACTAGGATGTGGCTTCTGAATCTTGCCATTAAAACAGGCTGACGCCTCATTCATACCTTTGTCAGAACATGTGGAAATTTCATATTATTTTTCAAAAGAGCCCTTAGGAGGAAGGAAAGGTTCCAATCCAATATATATACATATGAAATGGTCAAAGCCTAGCCGGGACTCTAATACTATTTTGTTTTTTTGGGCCTTTTATGCAGTTCTTCTTCATACCTCTCACTTTTTGCGGTTTGTTGTCAACCAATTATTCCAATTCCAAGGTCAAGCGTAGAGTAGATTGGAGAGGGGGATGCAGCATATTTAATGTTTGGTGTAGGGGTGTAAACGATTCTAGTTTTTTAATGTGCTATTCAAGTCGATCTCAAACATAAAATAAAATCTGTTTAATATTAACAAGCGAAGCTTCATTACAACAATGTTCGACTCGGCTCGTATGAGAAACTCGATTAAATTTTTTGAGTCGAGCCGTTCCATTCGAGCATACATTTTTCTGAGCCAATCATGCTCATACATCCATAAATCATACAATAAGAATATATTGTCGAGCTTAAACCAATAAATGAGTTAATCAATTGTGAGTTCGAGCCCCTTAGACGAGCATCGAGCTCGATAATTCAAAAAATATTATCAAGCTCGATCCCTACTTTGTAAAAGTTATTGAAGCTCAAGCTTGAACTTTTCGAGCCGAAATCAATAATCAACTGGTCGACTCAACTTGGGTAGTTTATACCCCTAGTTTGGTGTCCCCTTCCCCACCCACACCCACACCCACACCCACACCCACCCCTTCTAATTTGGTGTCCCCAAGCAAAATAGAGTGAGAAATCACAAATTGAGAATTATCAGTTTCAGGTTTACAAGAGAAAATGAACGATACAAAAATACCAAGTGGTAAGGGAATGAATTTCCTAAACCCAACCTTCTTGCTTGTAGGTTTGAAGGATTGCGAAATTCTTGGATTTCATTTCCCTTTAAAAAAAACCTATAACACGTATTCCTTCATTCTCGTATTCATCAACCAAACTCCAATTTCTGGCCTTGCACCGACCATCCAATGGACGACGGACTAAACGGTCACACCTTGAAATACTTTGATCAAACATTGTTAGTATCGTATTCGATGTCAATTTTTGTTTTAGTTCAAATTTACACAACCATGCATTCATATCCTCTAAATCCAGACGGTAAAAGATCCGGATATCATGCTTACTATTAAAAAAATAAAAACAAAGGAGACGTTAACACTAACGTGTCAAAGTCAACATGGAATAGTGGCATATATTATATTCTCTCCATATATATCGTACCTTTTTAATGCACGAAATGGAGTTTGACATCTGATCTGAGCCTACAAAGGGGTGTGTGTGTGTGTGTATATACATATATATATATATATAGCATTGTTAAGTAAGCATAACTGATAGTGATAGGTTGTAATTGCCGGCCGAATGAATCTTTGGTATCTTCTCCTTGTTCAAAATCGATTTTAAGTTGACTTTATTTGTCATTTATCAACCAACTTAAAATCTCATGATGACTCAATTGCAGGTGACAAAAATTGAGTTTTTAGGACTTCTAAATAAATTATTATAAATCAAAACTAAACAAACCCAATACATCTCATACAGATGTGGATTCTGTGAAAACTAGGATGTATGCATACCTTGCGTTTAGGTTGTTTTAATGAAAACCCTTGGTAAAGAGGGTGCAACAGGAGGATTTCTTAGGGGTCACCCATCCTAGTACAACTCTTATCCAATCACGTTTAATAGACCATACGTTATACGTTATAAATGGGTGAACCGTGAACGATCAAACACATACTTGCAACCCCTTTGTTCTAGCATAATGTCAAAAACTCCACCTATGAAGATAAAAACAACGTACAGCTACTAGGATCTGAACGATACATGATTAACAGAAGACAGCGACAAAATCCATGCCAAAAACTCATATTGTCCGCCCTATTAGATCCAAAAAACCATGACCATGATTCACAAATATATTAACCTTAAATTGTAAACATCGGCAAAGCGGACTTAACAAAAGCGTGGTTTGGTTACTGCTGCAAGACTACAAAAACTTCAGAGAACACAAACACAAAAGATCTGCAGTTGCATTAACTAACAAACACATGGTGACAAACAGAAATGATACTAACCTCCAAATTCCTTCTACTGTATTGCCTCTGCCTCTTTTCTTGCAGACTGAAGAGCATTACGCCACAATCTATGGCTTCTCGGAATTGGGTTTTTTTGCTCCTTGTTTTTTTGATCCACGGGATCCTCGCTCTTCCTGAGAGTCAACCAACACAGATCCCTTTCTCTTGCTATAAGCTATCTAATCCCTGCAACTCTATACTCTATCAACACAATGATCTCACCGAAAATAATATTTCTTCACTTTACTCGGTGGACGCATCTCAAATTCAAACAATTGGCGATGGAGACAACCAAGATCACCTTATAACAGTGCCTTGTTCTTGTCAGAATGTGAACAACACGGTTGCATACTTCTATAATGTGATCTATTCAGTAAAACCAGATGATACATTCTTGAATGTTTCTGATCAGTTGTATAGTGGTCAAGCTTGGGAGATTGGAGATGAAGGTGGAGACTTTAAAGCTAACGAGAGTGTCACTTTGCACCTATTGTGTGGGTGTACGGAAACAGATTCTAAGATTATGGTGACATATACGGTTCAGCAGCACGATATACTTATAGATATTGCTAATCGGCTCTCTGCTGAAGTGGATGAGATACAGCATGCAAACAGCGTTTTGCTTCGGGAACCAGGATTCATAAAGCCCGGTTGGGTCTTGTTTGTTCCTATGTATAAGAACGGAATTCCACCACCACCATCTAAGAAAAGTAAGTTTCTTTTATCTAGTTAAGGTAATGAAACTGCATTCGCACTCTGCATCTATTAGATGTATCCTTAATGTTTGTACAGGTTATATAAGCATATCATGTGCAGACACTCGTTCATTTGGCTTCCTATTGATCTGTTAATATCTTCATGTACTTTTGCATTAAATCCGACACTCAGGGCCTGTTTGGTTGGTTTTCCATTAAATCCTGTATGGATAAAGTTGTCTTTTGTTTAGGAGGGGTTTTTTTCATAGATGGAAGGAGCATGCTTTTAATTGGGAGGAGCAGGATTGGGAAAAACTTGGCTTTCTGCATAAAGCTCCCTCTTAGAAGCTTACTGAATAAGCCACTTTCTATATCATTAAGCCACTATCAAGTATCAAACAGTTATTTATAGCTGACTGAATAAGCTCCAAGTCCCATTAAGCTGCTAATGAGCAGGCCTTTAATGTCATAGCTAAGAAAGAGAAACTAAGAACATGATGGAAGGACAAACGATAACTAAGTTTACTCGTGGTTTTCAGGAAATCACAAGTGGGTGATTGTATTTAGCGTACTCCTAGCAGTCATCGCACTTTTATTATGCATGTCAATCTTAATGTTCATGAAGAGGAAAAGATCCCAAGAACACGACAAGGAAAATGCAAAGGTTGTATCTAAAACTATGAGTTTTCATAGATCAGCTTCCTGGAAGACTCGATACCTGGGTAAAGAAAATATGGAAGGTCAGATCATCAGTCCAGCTCCCTATTTATAGTTATTCCCCTCCCCCCCAGGCTCTTATCCTTCGGATAAGATACTTAGATTATAATACTGGAAGCACTCTAAACCTAAAGGGTCAGCGTTTGGAATTGAATCGTGTGTAAACATATATTCAGATATCACAGGTTTTGACACAGAAAGACCATTGGTATATGATCTTGATGAGATAGCAGAGGCTACAAACAATTTCGATGATACTAGGAAAATTGGAGAGGGTGGATATGGGAGTGTATATTTCGGCGTTTTGGGAGGAAAGGTGCTAAAAGTCTCTTTTAAGATTTCTGTTTAAACATGTGCTTGCTTGCTTCATTTCTCCAGAAAACATCCAATGCTCAAATTCACTATTGATTTCATGCTTTTAGGAGGTAGCTGTAAAGAAAATGAGATCCAACAAGTCAAAAGAATTTCTGGCAGAACTCAAAGTATTGTGTAAAATTCATCATATCAATGTGGTAGGTCATAATCTACCCCTGTACTGGATAATTCTAGCTTCACATGATTTCTTGATGACCAGAATTTGATACCAGGTGGAGCTATTGGGATTTGCCAGTGGAGATGATCATTTCTACTTGGTTTATGAGTTCATTTCATATGGATCTTTAAGTGAGCATCTTCATGACCCTTTACTCAAAGGTACTAACTTTGCTGAATATCAGTTTGGTTCTACCAAGAGTCTATAAGATAACTAGAAAGTAACCAACTAATGTCAAAAGAAAGATATAAGACATGGGGTACCAGTGCAAGAAAAGCCATTACTGATAAGAAGATAAATCAGGTCACCAGCCACTCTCTTGGACTGCAAGAGCACAAATCGCGTTGGATACTGCAAAGGGTATCGAGTATATTCATGATCACACAAAGGAACGATATGTACACCGAGATATAAAGACAAGTAATATTCTACTCGACAACGGGCTGCGAGCAAAGGTACCGACTAAAATACAGTATTTTTTTGTCTCACAGTTTCTTTAATGAGAACATCATCAATTACATCATCTATGTGTGGAGTTTTTTAGCTCCATTTAAAGTTCTTTACTTATTCCTATCAACAACAGACTTCCTTTTCATTATCTGAAAGCAATAAACAAATTGTAGTGAGATTGACCTTAAGAGAAATGCCCACAAGGTTGCAGATTTTGGTTTGGCAAAACTTGTTGGACGAACAAACGATGACGACTTCATAGCAACTCGTCTTGTTGGAACACCGGGATATCTGCCTCCAGAGTGAGTTTCTAAACCCTTCATGTTAGATAACGGTCGTACAAGTTTTTTGCTGAAACTTGTTTAACTCTAAGATTTCGGTCTACATCCTACAATCCCCACCCCTTCAACAGGTCTGTCAAAGAATTGCATGTAACAACAAAAACCGATGTTTTTGCATTTGGGGTGGTTCTAGCAGAGCTTATAACTGGAAAGCGTGCACTCATGCGTGACAATCAAGAGCCCAATAAGATGAAATCACTCATAACAGTTGTAAGTTTATACGGTGAATACTTGCAATCGCATTGTCATGATTGTTGGCAAGATAAGTTAATCATAACTACTCTCTAAGTGATGATTTTCACTTTAACTGAACTTATTCTAAATCTAGTTGCTAGATCAGAATGTGAGGGTTCTGAATATATTACAAAATATGTGGAAAAGGTCACTGAGATACATATATAACATAAGGAACAGATTCACTTCTTTTCACACCACCAGTCCACCACTGAAAACATGGTGCTCCGTGCTCATCCTATACATGTTAACCAATCTTAACAGTGATCTAACCAAAGTTTTATGCAATCACATGCCCAGATAACTAGAGTATTTGAAGACAGTGATCCAGAAGGTGCATTAGTATCCATTAGAGACGGTAGCCTCAGGGACAGTTATCCCATGGATGATTTATACAAGGTTAGTCTTATTACTTGTTACTCTACACGGACATCTACAGGTCTAATATTTCTAGTGCTGAATGTGTTCATGTAACTTGTTGAGTGTCTCTGAACTGAACTGGAAAAAAAAAAGGAACCATCTGAACCTTACCGCATGTGTTAGTCTAATTACAATGCTAATTTCTCAGCTACATCTGTTCAATCTGACTTTACTCCTTAGGGTAGAGGAAAGGCGTACATGCATCCTTCCCCCCCCCCCCCCMCCCCCCCAAAAAAAGACCCTGCTCTGTGTGGGATTTACTTGGTTCTGTCTAGTTTGATTTGGTTTATTTGTTCAATCCATCTTTGCAGATGGCTGAAGTTTCGTATTGGTGCCTAAGTGAAGATCCAGTTAACAGACCAGAAGTAGGAGAGATAGTGGAGTGTTTAGCTCGAATTCTGATGTCCTCAGTTGAATGGGAAGCATCACTGGGAGGGAGTAGCCAAGTTTTTAGTGGTGTATTCGATGGGCGATGAAAACCTGGATATTAGTTGATTGCAGTTATAAATAGACATGGTCCTCAAGCCGAAAGACGAAATTATTAAGAAGTGATATTGTCATTGATTTTTCTTTTATGTGCATGAGCTATCCTGTTGGCTCATATGAACTATGAAGGACTCCTTGGGAAATGAAAATTTAAACAACTTTCATTTTGACATATCTTCTACTATGTGCAATGTTACTTTTACAAGTTAAAGACCAATCTACCCTTATGTATCAAAGTTGATGTGGTGTGCAGATCACATTAGCATCCTCATTTGTAGTTAAACGTGTCTTTGCAAAACTTTCTTATCAAGGTGTATCTTAGATATTTAAATAATAAAAAAGATAATTAAACCATGTGCAAAAATAAATGTTGCATTTGTTTTTAACAAAAGGGGAAATATATTGATTTACAAGTAAAAACCATAAGGTATTTTTCCTAGTTTTTGAGTTTCGAACAGAAGACACGTTAGATTTTTTTCTTTACCAAAAAATTAGGTTATCTGTTATGTTCTCTCTCTTTATCTGTTGTTATTATTAGGCTTAGGTCATGAACCATTTGGTCATTGTATTCCTATTAGGTGCAATTGGCTCGTTTGACCTACTTACCAGACCTAAAGTTTGTTTGGTTATACGAAAATGGTGTTCTACATGGACCCATGCACTAGTTGGATAATGTTCCTTTAGATTATTGATTAAGATGCTTTTAATGTCTGCTAAAGATGAACTCTTGTACCATTTAATTTTTATCAGTGAAAATATTGGCCAGACTACATCCCATGGTTCTTCTCCCGTTGATGCTTTTAATGTCTGCCAAAGTTTTTATCAGTGTACATTTATAATTTGTGCATGGAGAGAAAAGGATTTGTAACTCGTGAATCTGCTGCTCTATTTGTGTTAAGACTTCCCGTTTTTGCTAAATAGTCGATGTCAAATAATATGTAACCACATCAGACTTCATATATAAGTATAACAATGAAATTACAAAATTCAAGTGTCAAGTGTCAAATTCATGATCAAAATTAGTGTTGGATTTTAATCTGACTGAAAAATAATTACAATCCTCTCGTTCCCCTAACAAGTAGATGGTTTGATAAAAATCTCCTTTAAGAAATTACAAACAAACATGGCGCTAATCATTCAATCAAGTGATTATAAGCAATGTATCAAGTTATTAACATCAAAAGTTACAAAACTGGAAATCATAATAAGAAGAAGATGACGAGTAACCTGAAAATCGTAGCAGCGGGCCAAGTAGCGGCTGATCTCGGAAGGTTTTCGCCATTTCTAGGGTTCATGTGCAATTTTTTATTTGACTATTCCACATTCTGGATCCTTGATCCGTGAGTGTATTCAACTGGCCATTGACAAACTATTAGCATGATTATAAACAAGACATCAAGTTACGATCATCTACCACTAAACCAGGAAACCATAACGAGGAATTTAAACCATAAGGCCTCTTGTCAAAAGTAGGAGGTAAAAATAAAAATTCCCTTTTGGGGCCACGGTTCAAATACGTTGACTCTTTAAAGCAGGTGGTCGGTCCGAATAGCGAATTGGGGGTTTAAACGGGAACATATTTATATTTATTTTAAGAAAACATAAAACACTCATGTCATAATACACGTAAGGAGACATGGTGGTGTGCGGGTGATTTGGTCTGCGATCTAGGTCATGGCAACGGTCGTCCTACATGCGATTGAATTTAGTAAAAAGATGTTCTCACATTTTTGTAAAATAAAGGTATTCTCGTTTAAACTTTTCCCCTTTTAAATACTATATGAAATGTTATTACGTGGATATTTTACGCTATAATTTGAATAATAACATATCAATCGATCATAGACGACAATCACATTCCTTTCGTGCTAAATCAAGAACGAGTACGAGTTTTTGGGATAACAGTTATTAACGATGTTTGATTTGATGCAATTGAATCGAGGATTACCAGATTTTGGGTGATGAAACATTCGTCAACAAAATCGAAGAAAATGGAACTCATTCCCATACAACGATTACATGTTCACCAAAAACATTTGGATTGTATAGAAAGTGGGCGAATACATAGAAATTTCACATAAATCTCGACAAACTAATGGCTGTACAACAGCAATGCGTATCGGCATCTTTCTATCAGCAGGACATCGAGAAAACGAAACTACAAGACATCCCGTTTCGGCGAGCGACTTGCATATGTCAAATGTATAGTTAATCTCGTCATTGAACATGATCCGGCATTGTCGGGATCTTTCTAAAGGCATGTTTCCGACACCGCTCAAAAATACTGTCGTATATCAAATCAAACTGTACTCCTGCTCTTTCGCGATTCACTATGAAAAGAATATGATCGCCCTCCACGATCTTATAATACCTGTAAACAAACAAAATCATTATCTATGGACTATGGTAAACCAAACCAAACCAAACAAACCCTGTATATATATATCTAACTCAAAAGTAGAGTATGTAAACTATTATTAACCGTAAAACATACCAAATGCCCGGTTGCAAGGGGTGGCATTCAGAATCTTCAACCACAAATCGACTAGGGTGTTCAACTGGGAAACGAGGGTGTGTCATAGACAAAGTATTTATCGCGCCATCGTTATCCCACCAATCTTCATCCCTGAAAATCCAATTTACAACATCAAGAAACGAAATTCAGGACAAATGAGACGTGTTTTATTGAATATCGACCGACCTGTATCCCTTGAAAGGGGGAGGGACGTCCGGTTGGTGCCTCCATTGACTCATCTGCAAGACTCTGATGTAAAGTAACGGGTGGATTCCTAGAATATTGGAAGGGAGAGTGAAACCCATGAACTTTCTAGTACGTTTCGTCGCGTAACTAAAGTAGTATGTGCTAGGAAACGTGTTTAGATGGCTGTTGAGACGTAACGATCCCTGGATCGTTAGGTCTGGAAGGATCCAATCACCCGAAGCAAAAGGGCCAGAATTTCCAACAAGACAATCGACAAGTCCCCAGATACCGGCTTTCCTCCATGACATATTGTAATGGTCAAACCCGAAATTGTAGTAATATTTCAGGACAGAAATGTCCAGCCAATCATAAATGATAACTCCTAATCGCAATAACTGGAGAAGGCATATCGATTTCATGGATTTCCCGTCTTCTGGCCTGAAAAAACAGCAAATTTTGATGCATGATTTCTAAATCTGGAGTGATAAGAACAGAATACTAGGTGTTTCATCACTTCTGGCAAACTTTGATGGATGATTTTGAAATCTTGAAGTGAATTAAGCAATAGTTTTGCATCAAGACTAAAGATTTTAAGTTTCATGGGTTTCCCATCTTCTGGGCTGAAATTTTTGCACGACCGGAACAGGGGAGGAAACACGTTACACCACGATTTTGAATCAGAAGAGATGGATGATTTGCAAATCTTGAAGTGAACTGAGAAATTACTTCCGACCAAGAATTAAAGATTTCAAGTTTCAAAGATTTCCATCTTCTGGCCTGAAAATGAGGGTTTTTGAATAAGAAATGATCAAACTTACTGCATTCCATCTAAGTAAGCTCGAGTAGTTCCATTGAACGCGCCAGATAACGATGTTACACTCAAAACCCAGTTTTCAGAAGTGTTTTCGTATCCTTTGAATGCCTGAAAATCATCAAAAGCTCGTGTCTTCAGTAATGCGAACGATTTCGTTTATACCAAGTTCATGTTTCAAATGAGAGCACAACCATATCCACAAAAACGTTACTCGAAACAAAAACTAACCTTATCGGCTAGCATTTGTTGCAGAACCCGTATCACCTGTGCTCCAGCCGAGTGCCCAACGAAGTGAATCGGGTGTTCTTCGTCCCATTGAGGATAATGCCCTAATATATCCAAGTAAACAAAACTACTGTATAAGCCAACTGTTATTGATTTTGGTTGAAAGTTATTGAATCATAACTCAAACCCATAATCCATATCCAATTCTCGAACTCTAAATCGACGATTTTGATTGTTTTGTTATAAACATAGATGACTTTTATAGCTAACCTTTTTCATATATCCTTCCAAACTGAGAATGCCCACAAGCCTTGCTGTGTTCTTCACCATAATCAACTTGTCCACCTTTCAAATAATAAAACAATTCTCTTGCCCTAAAAGAAACCCAATAATCCATAATCAAAACCCAGAAATTGTTCATATACATAACATCATAAAACAGCAACTTGGGGGTAGATTAAGAACAAACCTGTCATAAATGCTGGTTAATGAACCCAAATCAGGCACCAAAACCTTCTCATCCTTCTTCTCTGCCCCAGCAAAATAGGATAATCCACCTAATCTCTGTTAAACAAATCCAAAATCCAATTGTGTTTAGACAAATAACTCCAAAGGAATTGAACACCCATAATGCAAATTTAACCCAAAAATCATCACGAAACTCATTACCCCTTTTCCAAATCCAAAAATTCCATGAACCAACACAATGGGAGGCAGATCATTATCAGAGCTTTCAAACTTTCCATCCGTGATCGATGGTTCAATATTCGACTTGAAAAACAGATCATTCAAAGCCAATGAAAGATCACCGGCCACCGCAGAGCTGAATATGTAGAAGCCATATAACAAATGAACCAAAGAACTGACGAATAATTCAACCAATTGAAGGGCCGCTACGGAAATCCTAAACATCTTCCCTCTGAACGAAACTCAAGAAACAGAGCCTTCTCCTAGGTTGGAATCAAGAAGAAGGCCCTAATTTCTTCAAGAAACTCTAGAGGAGATCTCCAATCCAGAAATTTTGAAAACCCAAATGAGAAAAATGAGTAAATTTTATAGGATTTTGATGGGAATTTGTCTAGAGTATGGTTGGTTTGACAAACGAGAACGTTTTCCACAATTTTCTCATTCTTCAACCCATCTCAAAAAAACTGACAACGCATTACAGAAGGCAGGTTTCCGTTCACTCAATTCAATTTCATATCAAATTTGGTACACAAAGGGTCCACAAAGCCTTTGGTGTGGATTTCTGCCACGTGGATAGAAATACACGTTGATCTGAATGTCATAAAAGTAAGTAAATAACAAATTTAGTGGGTCCCGCATATCTTGGGTAAATCAGATTTTTGGATAAAGTATTTAAACAATTATTATATACTCATAAAAAACGTTTCAAATTTTTATTATTAAATGAATAAAAAAATTAAACTTACATTTAAGTTTTATTTAAATATAATTATTTAAAGAAAATTAAAATAAATTGGTTACCTTTTAAATTTCAAACTTCAAATCCTTGTTTAATGAAAAACTAGCGGTAAATATATTTGGACAAAAGTCATTTAATTTAATATAATAATAGTAAAATAGTATATTTATTTACTATTTTATTAAAACATAATAATTATAATACATGATTAATTTTTATAATTAATAAATATATACCACTTAATTTTCAAATAATGTATTTAATGAAACATCATTAAAATTAAAACAGTAATTTTTAATGGATGAATATTACATTTCAAAACAAATTAAATTATGATAGTTTGATTCTAAAATATAGTATGCATCTGAAAGTAAATTAAATTACACTGCTTTTTCAAGTTAATATATTTGTCCAACAAATGTTTAGTTAATGCATTTTTGAAGTTTAATGTGGGCATCGTTATCTTTTCCTATATGAATATATGTTATTTGGTCTTATGTTATTATCTTGGCACAAAATTATAGTTAAGATTGGTGATAGCCAAACCGGCCCGGCCCGGGACCGACGGTTACAACCAGTTACGCATTTTGACAGTTTTATGGGATCGGGACCGGTTAAGGTCTGGCCCGAAAACCAGGACCGGTTATGACCAGTTACGAGAAACGTCAAGCCCGATTGGGACCGGTTTTTGGCCACCACTAGTTAAGATTACATAAATTTTTGCTAATGAAATTTCATTATGTTAAAGGTTATATGATTATACAAATGTTTTTTTATGTATGTTTTAAGTTTCGTGGACCAAAATTATAATAAAGTAATGCTTTTTTTGTTTTTTGTTTACTAAATTTCATTTTTAATTTAAAAAATTAAATTATTTAAATATATTTACAATTTAAAATCACAAAATAACTAAATTATAAACTTAATACAAAATATTTATATGATTTCTTATCTTAAACTATTAATCTATACATACATAGTTGGGTTCACCGTTCATGTGAGACCAACCTGTTTTCGTGAGACCCGTGATCGTGAGACCAATTTTTTACACTTGAAACTCCACAGTGAAACGTTGTGAAGGTAATTAAAAAATCGGAACATTCACAGCGTTTTGTTTTGAAGTTTTAAGTGTAAAAAAGTGGTCTCACGAAAATAGGTTGGTCTCACGTAATCACAAGGCTCTCTCTCTCTCTCTCTCTCTCTCTCTCTCTCTCTCTCTATATATATATATATATATATATATATATTGGGTACATTCAAGAAAGAACTGACTACTTTATGGTAATTGTGAGATCCAATCTCAACCACAAATCAATATATAAATTAGGAAATTTATAATTTTGGTAATATTGAATTAAAATTTTAATGCAAGAACATTTTAGGTATTTTCTCTTTTCTCTTCTCTCTCCGTCCTCCGGTGATACCACTGTGATACCTAAAAATATTGATTCTGTTAAACAAAAGACATGGTGTGATACTCAAGCATATATAAGATGCATTGTGATACCACTGTGTTACATCTCCGATCGACCACACAAATGACCTTAGTGTGATACCCAAGCACATATATGATGCATTGTGATACCATTGTGGTATCACCGGAGGACGGAGAGAGTAGAGCGAAGAGAGGAGAGTTTTAGAATATCTAAAATGTCTTTGCATTAAAATTTTAATTCAAAATTATAAATTTCCTAATTTATCTATTAATTTATAGTTAAGATTGGATCTCACGGTTACCACAAATTATTCTCATTTGATAGGCCCATATATATATATATATATATATATGTATGTATGTATGTATATATATATATATATATGTATGTATGTATGTATGTATATGTATATGTATATGTATATAAATTCATTAGTAAAAAAATAGAGGTCAACATTTTTTACCTCCACCTCCCAATATAGATGCCAACGTTAATGAATATCATTTTTTTTTTGTGTTTTAGTGTGGGTTGGAGAAGATAACACATCTATTTTTTTATTTTATTTTTTTATTAACTTGGATATCTAATTCGCTATGCGAGCCGATGAAACCCAGGACAACCACGTGCTTTGCAGATAACACCTCTATTTTGATATTTATAATGATTTTTATGGTGAGTTGGAGATGCTCTTAAATGATTATATATTATTTTCTCACTCAGTTCTCATTATATATTATTATTTTATTTAAATTAACTAAACTAAAATAATCACATTTCAAATTTCAAATCCTTGTTCAATGAATCAAGGCTAGTGGTAACTATATTAAATGGTTACATAGTTTTCTTGTGAACCAAAACAAGTTGTTCACTAGTTAAAAAGGAGTATGAACTACCATATTCGTATATCGACTAATTTCATGGGACACTGAAGTTAATAGTTAGAAAAATTAAACCTTATAGTTGCCCCAAGAGGACTTGAGTTGATGACCTTTACGAGCAAATCCAATATCTTACCAGTTGAGCTATCATTAAATGTTATATGTATACATCCCATCTTATCGTTAAATAAAGGAAACGCACCTGCACCAATACCAAACTGAAATAACATTTAATTCTCCTAATACCTATAAACCAGCTAAAACTACCATCAGTTGTCATTATGCACCTTTCAACATTCCAAACTGTCAGCTAAACATCGCTCACAACCTATAAATAGAAAGGTAACTCAACTGATAACGAAACATGTGGTATTCAATGTTTTGAATCTGATTTCACATGCTCACAAATAAACCTAGGTGATAAGGAGGGGTTGGCAAATCCTCCAACTTTTATAAGTTATGATATATATATATATATATATATATATATATATATATTTAGGGATTAACGAGGACAAATAATTGATGGGAAAACCTAAAAATGGTGATGAAATTGATAAAAAAGCAAAAAAGGAGGGGTGAATTTGAAAAGTAACGAAAACGTCGAAACAAAAACGCTGGATGTGAGCTGGATGATTCATACCTTATCCAATCAACTCCTAACGGCCCACTCTCACTTCTTAATTAACGGGAACCTTGTCTATTTTAATTTTAACCAAAATAATAACCTTTAATAAAATAAACAAATTAATCGATCATGTCAAATTATTTTTATTTTGAAATATTAAAAGGTTACCTTTTATTTTTGATAAAAATGGGGTTTGATTTTTTTTTAATCATAAGTGTCGGAGATAACCTTTGTATAACTTAGATAATTTAAGAGACCCTAAAAAAGTCAGAAAAATTTCTAATAGCATTGCAGAACTCGAACCGATGTCATTGGATGAAAATCCTTAAAAGCTCAAATCTTATTGTCAATTGAACTAATTTCACAAAGTTAAAATTAGGAAAGATTTTGGGAATTTTAAACAAGTTTTTTATTCCATCAGTTTTTCTAAAAATCTCTTTAAAAAATGAAAGCAGGAGGTAAAATGTAAAATTCTTCAAATTTGAAAAACTCCATAAAACATGATTGCCACAAAAAAGAAATACGTGTTTTCTAATTAAATGTTTAAATTAGAAAATAATATTTTTATTAAATATATAAAATATTATAATAATATAATCAATGATTTAATCTTTACAATAAAAAATATTTTTAAATAGTTCATTTTAAAATTATTTTGAAAAATTGATTGGAGATGTTCGTAGATAAACAAATATTTTGTTAAAAACAAATTTTATTAAAAAAGAAAGAAAAACGAAAAACACATTGAAGCGATCTACGAGAAAAGGAAAACCGTTCAAGAGCCATTAAAACCCGAAACAAAAGAAAAACAGAAAAAAAAAAAAATTAGAACTAAGGGGCCCGTTTACTTAAATGCTTACCCAGTAAGTGTTTAATATTATGAATCAACAATATAATTTATTTTATCGAATAAAATTGTAGTACATCAAAGTGATATTGTATGCAACAATCTATCCGATAAACACTTACGCGGATAAAAGTCGTTACTCTTACACTTACTGAGTAAAACTCTTCATCTATACATTGCTCTTATAAGATTAGATTTTTGACAAAAAAAAAAGCTTTTAAACAACGATTAAACAGATATATGAAGAGAATCAGAAAATTATTAAAGCTGTAAATTAAATAATAGACATAAATTAAAAGATAATGGTATTGGGAATTGAATACATGTGACGCACATGCAGATACCGCGTTTTGGTTGGTGGTTGAAACTCGAGAGTGGTTTGGATTCTAGATACCTCCTGTGAGGCTGTGATACACAATAATAATTCCTTTCGGCTCACCTAAAATCATTGATATTTTTAATTAATAGATAATCACATATTTAAAATGTTATTATTAATATAAAATTGAAAAAACTTCTGACCCCAATCATATATATCTTATACTAGAAGTGTACTCGCGCAATGCAGCGAGATACATCGTGTTTTTAATATTTCATTTTATTCTTTATCTCAGTCGATGTTATAATATGAATTTATGTGATTTTGAGAAAACGATGATGTTTTTATTTTTGAATAAAATATATGTTTGACGATATCATAAAAATTTGACAAAAATATATCGATATTAGTATCAAATTA